TCACCATATTGGTGCTCTTTAACACGTCTTTTTATGAGCAATTTTGTCCCGACCTCGACATTGGTACTGAAAGACTTTGAGAGCAACCTCCACCATTGCGAGCGGAGAAACAATATCGGCCATGCTCATGAGCACTTTGATGTGCCATCACCAAGACAAGTCACTGAAAAATATCTGTCGAGAGGGGGAGCGGACAAGGAATGTGGAGCTGTAATGAATTCCGTGATTAGGTTTAGATCGGGCTTGAAATAACGAAGGGAGATGGACATAGGGTGGGACTTGGAATGACCGAACGTTGCTGCGTTCGGAAAACCACAGTGGCCAGTAGGAGACATAGGAGCACATGAGAGCATATTCCTGCTCACGCGTCCGAACTACTCTCCGTCTGCTCTGTTCAAGAACAGCGGTGCATTCGTATCAATGCTTGTACAACTTATTTACGTATGTGTTTGGGTAGAAACCGTCCCGGGCAACTAGGGTGGGTGAGTTATTGTGCATATCTTGGAAAGAGCACCTACTTTTGATGTGGCAAGTACAAAGGCGCCAGTCTGACTCTCGCCGTAACAAGAATTCCACTGTCACTGACTTTTTGTCTTATTACGACGTCACGCAATATTTCGATGCATGAACGATTTCGACCTCACGGTCCATGAGGTGTTTGCGTATTGTTACCCACAAATGTGTTCTTTGACTTCAAGGGGACGTCTGATTATGTCGTTTGGTTATTTTTCTCAACTGTCTCAAGCTCATGAATATAATCTGTTCCTGGTGTCCATGTATTCCTTGGCTTGAAAGAGTGTATGAACTTGTAGTGTTGTGGAATGTAGGTAGCTCGTCTTCGTTGCTTGGTTGTTGGTCCGCTCGCCGAGCTTGGCAGTTGGATTTCAAACGTTCCACCACCATTCGAGGTGACGTCGTCAGTGCAGGGTTGACTGCACTGACCCTGCACCACGATGTCACCTCGATTGGTGATGAAACTTTTGCAATCCAACTGCCAAGCTCAGCGAACAGACCAACAACCAAGTGCATGGACTTCTACAAACGGTGACTTCCGATGAGTGTCCTCTCGTTGTTCTGATTCGATTTCCTCGTCACTAATATAGTGTGATGTACAATGGAAGGTCTTCAAAAGGTTTAAATGGGTGCTGGTGAGAGTCCTGTGTGAGAAGTATACAGATGTTATCCTTTTAATATTTAGTGAGCGTAAAAGTCAATAAGTGCACTCCACCATGAAACCATCGGCATGTACTTTTCACCGACAGAGTGTGAAGCCGTGCTTCAGAGCGCGTAGTCTCTGAAGAGTCTAAGGAAAGACCGAGAGCTCTGGTGGACATCGAAAGCTCGGGAGATGGAGAAGGCTTTTGCTACGGGAAACAGCCGTGTCCTTTATCAACTGATACGATCGACTGGCCCTAGCAAAGCGACGGTCAGCGAAACGATAAGTGAAAAAATGGCTCATTAATTCACTCGCAAAAACGTCGACTGGA